CTTTGTAAGACATTTTAGGATGCCATGTTAAGTATCTCTTTCTGTCATTAAAAAAAAAAAAAAAAAAAAAAAAAAACACCGTATTTTCTTAGCGTCATTTCCCATAGTGGCATTACTGTGTCAAAGGCTATGAACATTTCAGTGGCTCTAGATAAATACTGTAATTGCTTTCCAAAAAGACTGTGCCTGTTTATTGTGTCCCCAGAAATGTTGGAATTCTGTCTACAATTCAGTCTTGACAGTGTAGTAAATTTCATTTAGAAAAGTTTTTACTACTTACATAGATGTAGAAAATAGTACTTTAGCTGGGAGTGAGGAGAATATGGGCAATAACTTTCCTTCATTTAATATTGTATTGCGAGTTAGTTTAAGTTATTTTATCCTAGTTTCCTAAGGCTATGTATTAGTAACTTTGGTAACTTACATACCTAATTTAAAAGTTTACTTTTTTGAAAGGCTAGAAGAAATAACTAATTAAGAACGTAACATCTTCATCCTTTTCTTTGCTCCATTATTAACTAGTTTCATTGTAGAACCTTCATATTTTTAAATCAGTTTTCATAACCAGTACTTTCTCAGAGTGGTAATTTAAAAATATATATTTAAAAAGAATAAATAATATGTGTTGAGAATACTTCAAAGATGTGAAGGGTTATTAACACCAGGAGTTGGCAAACTTCTCTGTAAAGGGCCATTTGAGTCTTTGTCGCATAGTCTTGGGTTTTTGTTTTTGTTTTTTTAAACAGCCATTTAAGTATTCTTAGCTCACGGGCAATATAAGAACAGTGGGCAGGATCTGGCCTGTGGGCAGTAGCTTGCTGAACTCTTATTTAGACTCCAGTGTTGTTGAAAGAGTCTACATTGATGCATAGTTTTTTTCTACCTCCACTTTTAGTTGACCCTTGAACAACATGGGTTTGACATGGGTCCACTTATAATACACATTTTTTTCCCAACCAAATGCAGATATGAAGAGCTGACTTTTCATATACATGGATGTTGCTGGGCCAAGTGTAGGACCGGAGATCAGGGTGGGTCTTGGAACCAGTGCTCTGTATGTATCAAGGGATGACTGTATTTCTGAAGTTGGAACAGAATTTATTAATACGTCATTTTTGTTGTGTTTGTTTTCTCTTTATGTTTATCAGTGCTTTTTAGATGATATTTAATCATTTCACACTTTTTGTTCTTTAGTTTTTGCCAAGTTGCACTGAAAATAGCTCAGTGACTAATTGCACTTCTAAGGAAAAGGACCCTAGTTAAAATTAACTCTGAAAATACTGAATTTTTAACCTAAATCTTTTATTTCTTTTCAACAGTATTGTTTATGAGTAGGTTGTGATTTACTTTGAAACCGAATGTGGCTCAGAACTTTGCTATCAATATTTTTAGGGTCTGGTAGGGAAAAGATAATAGGAATGACATATGTTAGTGAGTAGGGGACTGCTTTCCCAGTTTTTTGGTCCCAATGGTGTATTCACCATGGAAGCATCTTATGAAATATGTGCATAAACTACTAATATCCCACATTACAGGTTGAGTACTCTTTATCTTGAAATGTTCAGGACTGAGAAGTGTTTTTGAATTTAGGATTTTCACAGTTGGGATACTCAATCTACATTGGTAAGTAAAGAATGTGAGGTGACAGGCCAGGAGCGATGGTTCATGCCTGTAATCCCAGCACTTTTGGGAGGCCGGGGTCGGTGGATCACCTGAGGTTAGGAATTCAAGACCAGCTTGGCCAACATGGCGAAACCCCATCTCTACTAAAAATACAAAACCTAGCTGGGCACGGTGGCGTGTGCCTGTAATCTTAGCTACTTGGGAGGCTGAGACAGTAGAATTGCTTGAACCCAGGAGGTGGAGGTTGCAGTGAGCTGAGATCACGCCACCACACTCCAACCTGGGCAACAGAGTGAGACTGTCTCAAAAAAAAATAAATAAAAAGAATGTAAGGTGACAGCAATAGGCAAGGAAAAGTGTTTGGTCAGCTTTACATGCTCTGTAGCCATGCCTGGGTAATAGGTTGACTCTAAGACTCTTTACTTTGCTTCCACCTCCTGCTTTTTCATTAGTCTTTAGAATGGTTTTTAATTTATAATCTGTAGGAGTTCTTTCTAGGAGTTAAGAGAATAGGGTAAAAAAAGTAAAAGTCAACTGAATGTTCAAATCTTTAGTAAAGAACCTCTTAGAAAATAAATGTCCATCCTTTTTTCTGACTGGTGGAAAATTTTTATTATAGACAGTTTGGAAAATACCATATGCTTTAAAAGATAAACACAAAATTGTAGTCTAATATGGTGTTCACACTTAAAATTGAAAAGCAAAGACAAACACATTTAATATAGCATCTAGTACAAAGAAAAGACATAAGCAAGAGATAAATGTCTTTTAAGTTATTTCCATCAAAGATACAGCCTTTAAAATATTTTGGTGTATATATTACCAGTTTTTAAAATACATAATACATTTATATAAATACGTAAACACATTTTATTGGGATCATGCTGCACTTAACGTCTTTATATTCTCCTTATACTGTAAACATTTTGAAATACTTTACTAAAAACATTTGTAATGACCATTCTTTCTCTGTTTCTCCCTCTGAATGATAGAATGGTCTACAAAGTAATTAATAAGCTAATGATACTTTAATACTATATCTCACACGTGGAACATTAAGAAAATAATTGTCTTTACATTTATGTTTTATACCTGTCATCAGCTCTGCTTCTTATTTCATGGCTTCACATTGTAACATCCCTTTACCTTATTTTTGGAGAACTGTTTTGGCAGAATGTGTGAGATCTTAGGCAGAAGTATTATACAAAAGTCAGAAGAAAATCAGATTTTCATTTCAAGATTCTGTTAAAGTTACCCACTGCCTTCCTTTACTCAATCTTATAGTTGCAGTCTCTTTAAGATCTCTTCCTGTTTCTTTTTAGAAGAGAAAAACGAGGTCTCTCAGCATTTGCAGATTAAATAATTGTGCTCTTCAGAGTTATTCATCTGGCTGTTAGATTATTTTTTCCACAGTTTTCCAAAGTGGATGATGGCATTAGAATCTTGAGTATTGACCATTTCCTTATGTGTGCCTTTGACTATAAAGTAGATGCATGACAATTATTTATATGTTAATTGATTTTTCTTAATCAGCTTGAATAATAGAGTTGGTAAAGCTATCCCAATTTTGAAATTATTTTCTTTTGTAGATAATTTTCTGTTACCAATATGTACACTTGCATTGTTGACTCTCCATATAATACCTTAAAAAATAATTTTGTGGTGAAATACACATAATACAAAATTTACCATGGTAGTCTTTTTTTTGAGACTTAGTCTCACTCTGTTGCCAGGCTGGAGTGCAGTGGTGCAATCTTTGCTCACTGCAGTCTCCACCTCCTGGGTTCCAGTGATTCCCCTGCCTCAGCCTCCCATGTAGCTAGGACTACAGGTGTGCATCACCACGCCTAGCAAATTTTTTGTATTTTAGTAGAGGCAGGGTTTCACCGTATTGGCCAGGATGGTCTCCATCTCTTGACCTCATGATCTGCCTGGCTAGGCCTCCCAAAGTGTTGGGATTACAGGTGTGAACCACAGCACCTGGCCTATGGTAGTTATTTTTAAGTGTGCAATTCAATGACCTTAAGTATGTTCATAATGTTGTGCAACTATCATAGTGTTGTATAACCATTAGCCCTATTTATTTTGAGAACTGTTGTTTATCATCTGAAACTGGAATTCTGTACCTGTTAAATAGTCCCCAGTAATCCTCCCTCCCCCAGCTCCTGGTAACCTCTACTCTATTTTACACCTGTTTGAATTTTCCTATTTTAGGTTCCTCATATAAGTGGAATTATGTGGCATTTGTCATTTTGTGTCTGGCTTATTTAACGTAATGTTTTTAAGGTTCATCTGTGTAGTAGTGGCATGTATATATGGGTTGAAGCATCCTTTATCCAAAATGCTTGTGACTAGAAGAGGTTTGGATTTCAGATTTTTCTGGATTTTGGAATATTTGTAGATACTTAACTGGTTCAGCATTCCTAATCAAAAAATCCAAAATCAGGTAGAGCCCAGTGGCTCATGCTTATAATACCATACTTTGGGTGGCCAAGGCAGGAGGATTGATCTACTGAGCCCAGGAGTTCGACACCATCCTAAGCAACATAAGACCCTATCTCTACCAAAAAAAAAAAAAAAAAAAAAAAAAAAAAAAAAGGCAGATGAAAGAAGAAAAACAAATCCAAAGTCAGAAATGCTCCAGTGAGCATTTCCTTTTACTACCACATCAAGGCTTTGATGTTACAGAAGATTTTAGAGCATTTTGGATTTCAGATTTTTGGATTCGCCTGCATTAATGCTCAAATTGTATTCAAATTTTATTCTTTTTTTAATGGCTGAATAATGTTCCACTGTATGTATATACTACATTTTGTTTATCCATTCATCTGTTAACAGACACAAGTTATTTTTACATTTTGGGGATTATAAAGAGTGCTGCTACGAACATCGATGTACAGGTATCTGTTTGAGTCCCTGTTTTCAGTTCTTTTGGTTATATACCTAGGAATGAAATTGATGATCATTTGGTAATTCTGTGTTTAACTTTTTGAGGAACTACCACTCTTTTCCACAATGGCATCACTATTTTACATTCCCACCAGCAATGCACAAGGATTCCAGTGTCTGTTATCCATTTTTTAAATTTATTTTCCATTTTTTGAGATTTTTTTTTTGTTTTATTTTTTAATAATGGCCAATCCTAATGGGTATGTGGTAACATCTCATAGTTTTGATTTCATTTTCCTGACGATAGATGATGTTGAGAATCTTTTCAGGTGCTTGGTGGCCATTTGACCGTCATCTTTGGAGCAATGTCTTTTGAAGTCCTTTGCCCATTTTTAAATTGGATTTTTTTTGTTGTTGTTGTAATATAACACCTTTTTTAAAGTAAAAGGTGCACTGTAATAATCCAGACTATGTTTCTCCCTTCTCAGGATTCCTACAGGAAGCAAGTAGTAATTGATGGAGAAACCTGTCTCTTGGATATTCTCGACACAGCAGGTCAAGAGGAGTACAGTGCAATGAGGGACCAGTACATGAGGACTGGGGAGGGCTTTCTTTGTGTATTTGCCATAAATAATACTAAATCATTTGAAGATATTCACCATTATAGGTGGGTTTAAATTGAATATAATCAGTTGACATTAAGGAGTAATTATGGTTTTTGAGTCTTTGCTAATGCCATGCATATATTATCAAATTAAAATTTTGAAATAATTTTTGTGAAATCTCTGTTTTATAAATAGAGTTCTTGGGGGATTAGAGCAGTGGGGTAACTTGTTCCAGACTGCATTGGTAGTGGTGGTTCTGGGATTAAAACCTAGGCCTGTTTGACTCCACAGCCTTCTTTCTGTACTCTTGACTGTTCTACACTAGAAAAGCATGGCTTTAAACTTTTTAGATACATCATCAAAAAGGAAAACCATGAACAAGAATATGAAAAGGCGATTTGAGATGGTGTTACTTGAACAGCCTTAAAAGCTGTTAACGTGTATATAGTGTAGAATTCCTTGGATTGGATAAACAAAGGGATTTTATATATATAAAATATATAATATATAAATATATAATACAGTAATACATATTAATATGTAATATAAAAATATCTATTACATTTATATATTATATATGTGTGTGTGTGTGTATATATGTGTGTGTGTATATATATATATATTTTTTTTTTTTTTTTTTGAGACAGAGTCTTGCTCTGTCACCCGGGCTAGAGTGCAGTGGCATGATCTCTGCTCACTACAACCTCTGTCTCCAGGGTTCAAGCGATTCTCCTGCCTCAGCCTCCTGAGTAGCTGGGACTACAGGCATATGCTACCATGCCCAGCTAATGTTTTGCATTTTTAGTAGAGACAGAGTTTCACTGTTTTAGCCAGGATGGTCTCGATCTCCTGACCTTGTGATCAACCAGCCTTGGCCTCCCAAAGTGCTGGGATTACAGGTGTGAGCCACCGTGTCTGGCCGGGATTATGTATTTAAAAAAAACAAAAGTTTTGAAAGATTCAAGAATTCGGGCATTACCGTTTTCTTAAAAAAATCTGACAAAGCTGCATGAAACTATTAAAATAATCATTATTGTACTGTTTTATATTCAGTTTCTTTCAGGGTTTAGTTTTCCTAAAACTACATATTAAGCAAATAAATCACTCTCTGGCTATGTCATGTAATAGTGAGTTAGCCTAGTTAAGAGGTTTAACATTTTATTTAAGAACATTATTTCAGCATGTTCACTGTGTAGTCTAGTAATAGAGTAAAAGACATTTGGGTGGGTGGTAGTGGTAGTATTTTTATAGAGGAGTGAACAGGTGAAATTTGGTAACTTATCCAGGTTTACTCAGCTAATAATAGAGGAACTGGGAATTTGAACCAATTCTGACTCAGTTATCTGCTGTGCTCCTTCTTTTGTGCTGTATCTTTAAAAGTCACCTAAAATTGTGAGGGAATATAATCTCACCCCAAATTTAGAGTTTATGGACTTGTTGTATTGAAAATTACTAACATGTGGAAGGGCTTTTAAAGGCGAAAGATTTGTGCGATCTGAAGAGAAACCAGAGCGCTGTGGAAGGGCTTTTAACACCTAGAAATCAAAATCTTTCTACTTGTCAACTTTGTTTTTTGAGAAAGTAATGTGAAAATTATCTTAATGCTTTAGTTCAGGTTTTTGTAAAAATATTTTTTATCTTTATACATTTAACATATGTTTCTAAGATTATAGTCTGTTATAGCACTTTTGGTCTAGAGCTTTTCAGTAGTTTCTGCTTCACTATTACCATCTACCTGCATATTAATCTATGAGGTTATAGTTTTACTATACTTCTAGGTATCTGATCTTTTGAGAGAGATACAAGGTTTCTGTTTAAAAAGGTAGAGAAAAAAAATAGAAGAAGGAAGGAAGGAAAAGTTTGTGTAGTGGAAACTAGGAATTACATTGCTTCTTACAGCCAAATTTTATAAGACAAAAGTTGTGCACAGGTTTTGAAACATACTTTGTTACTAATGCCTCTGCCATAACATTTTTTCCTTTCCCAGAGAACAAATTAAAAGAGTTAAGGACTCCGAAGATGTACCTATGGTCCTAGTAGGAAATAAATGTGATTTGCCTTCTAGAACAGTAGACACGAAACAGGCTCAGGACTTAGCAAGAAGCTATGGAATTCCATTTATTGAAACATCAGCAAAGACAAGACAGGTAAGTAGTACTGAAATAAATACAGATCTGTTTTCTGCAAAATCATAACTGTTATGTTGTTTAATGTGATATATCAGTTTTTTTCTCAATTATGCTGTAACAGAAAATAAAATAATGTTTATTTAGTGAATGTTTTCTTCTCTTGAGAGGGCAGTGCTTCTTAATCCAGTGTCTGTGATACTGCTTTTGGCTTTGGTTTATTTCTACATTGAAAGTTTCTCTTCAGTTCTGAGCACATCTTAACATTTAGAATCCAAGAGATATGGGTTGTTTTTTTTTTGACTGTTACACACACACACGCACACACGCACACACCCTCCCCCCGCCCACAGATTTTTTGAGTTTCCTATTTCAGTCGTACTTTTAAACCATTATGTCATGTTTCTAGGTTAAATAGGTTAAATTTTGTTGTATTTGAAGATTTTTACTTTGGCAGAAATTTTTTCGAGGATATGTTGATTTTTGGAGAAAGTTCTCGTTAAAGAAAGAAAATACCCAGAAAGCAAATAGAAATTGTTATTCATTTAATGCATTTTTCTGACAAAAACTAATGCCAGAGGGACCCTGAATTTTGTTTTAAAAATCTTTGTTTTAAAAAATTACTTTTTCTTTAGGTAAAATATGATAATTTCAATTGATATTATTTATCCTGTTTGTATGAAGTAAGAGTTTAACATATAGGAACAAATCTTAGAAATGAATACATAAAGATAGGAAGGAATTAATTTTCGTATAGGGTTGTATGTCCCTTAATGACAGGGATGCTTTCTAAGAAATACATTGTTAGGTGATTTTGTCCTTGTGCAAACATCATAGAGTATTTTTATACAGTCTTGGTGGTATAACCTACTATACACCTGGGATATATTGTATAGTCTCTTGCCCCAGTTATACAAACCTGTACAGTATGTAACTGTACTAATGACTGTAAGCAGTTGTTAACACAGTGATAAGTTTTGTGTGTCTAAATGTACACTTGGGCTCCCCCAAATTTATATTTTTTAAATTTCTTGTTCAATAATAAATTAAGCTTAGTTTACTGTAACTTTTTTACTTTATAAGCTTTTTAATTTTTCCTAACATTTTGGCTTTTGTAATGACACAGCTTAAAACACAAACACATTATACAGCTATACAGAATTTTTCTTTCTTTTTGACCTTACTCTGTAAGCTTTTTTCCATAGTTAAAAATTTTTATTTGTTTTTACTTATTAAAATTTTTTGTTAGAAACTAAGACATGCATACACATTAGCCTAGGCCTGCATAGGGTCAGGGCCATCAATATCAATGTCCTCCACTTCCACATCTTGTCCCACTGGAAGGTCTTCAGGGGCAGTAACACACATGGAGCTATCATCTCTTAAAATAACACTGCCTTCTTTTGGAATACTTCCTGAAGGACCTGTCCAAGGCTGTTTATAGTTAACTGTTTTTTTTTTTTTTTTTTCCTAGTAAATAGCAGGAGCACACTATAAAATAATAATAAATAGTATGGTAGATACAAAACCAGTAATAGTCACTTATTACCATTATCAAGTATGTTGTATAATTGTAGGTGCTATAGCATTATACAACTGGCAGTGCAGTAAGTTGGTTTACACCAGTATCACCACAAACACATGAGTAATGTGTTGTACTACAGTGTTAGGATGGCTGTAACATCACCAGGTAACAGGAGTTTTTAAACTCCATTATATCTTATGGGACCACTATCACATACGCAATCTACTATTGACCAAAATGTCATTATGTGGCACATGACTGTACGAATAAATTGATCAATTTTTATTCCATAAATTTCTTTAGGGCTTTTTCTGGTTACATTTACCTGTGAACCCAGAAAACCAGTTTTGTAGAATTTAACTTATATAATACTAGGAGTTAAGATAAATTGATGATAAAAAATAAGCATTCTAGAAGTTTATCAGATTTCATAAAGGTGCAAAAATGTAAATGGAAATTATTATCCAGCTAACATATATATTTCCCTAGTGAGAGAGCATATGTACCTCTTCCAAGTTATACAGATTCGATACATAGTAAAGAAACAATAATTTCTACTTCAAGTTGTTTTTGGGGGATTAAAAACGGAATTTCTCTATTTGACCCTGCTGAAACCTGATTTATAGGTTAAACTTGGTATATATCATATCACTTTAATTTAGAGGAATTAAGATTTCACTTAAATCCATTTCCAGGTTCCAAAGACTAGGAAGAGGCTTGGTTTTTGTCTCTATTTTTACTAGTCTCCTATAGTCAGTCTCCTTGATTTTTCTTAGGAGAGAAGGTACTGAGAAAACAAGATTCTAATATTTATTACTTTTTCTTCCAATATTTTCTTATTAAACATTTTCAAATACAAAATTGAATTTTATTTGAAACATTCGGAAATCCACCTAGATTCTACCATTATCATTTTATTATACTTACAAATTTTAAAACATGTTTTTTATACTAGTGAACATTTTAGCTTACATTTCACAAAGAAAAAATTTAAGAGACTTTCCATAATGTTTTAAAGGGTTGCAGTAAAGAAGTCCTTCTTATATTTTCTTAGGCATACAAATCAACTGGGCTTATTAAAATATAGATTCTAATTCAGAGGGTTTAGGTTGGGACTGAGTCTGCATTTCCAACGAGCTCCCAAGTGGTACTTTTCTTGGTACTTGGACTATATACGTTGAGTAGAAGAGCAGTAGAGGACATAAAAAGAGTCTCGTTATTCCCACAGTGTTGCTCTCCACTTCTCATTTGATAAGATCCTAAAATAGCTGTGTCTCCTTTTGATGGTTGTTTGATCACTACTTCAGAAGTACTAATTGATTCTTGCTATTTGACCTTAATACTTTAATATAACACAGCATTCATATTTGGTCAGAAAACTGACTGGCTTCCTTTTATAAGAGATTTTTAGGTTTTTTACAGTTTTGTGGCCTTGTGTTTTTTGGTTTGATTTGTTTTGTTTTTTTGAAGATATATAATATGTAAGTAGATGAACTTTATAGACATTTTTATGTGGATCATCTAATTAAAATATGGAGGGATATAGTGTAAAAGAATGCTTGTACTTCTTAACCTAGTACTCAGCCTTTCTTTTATATATCTTTTATATATTTCTTTTATATTTCATTGATGTCTTTATGTAATTTATGTTGCTAAACTATAACTTAGATATTTAATTTCTGTTCTTTGATTTTCTTTTATTAAATGGACTTGTTGATTTGCCTAGAAATTAATTTGCTTTTCAAAAGTCTATTAATCTTCCTCTGTTGAAATTAATTTGATATTTGCATGCTTCTGGGAGATTTTAAAGAGCTATTCTGAGTAACTGTAGAGATTATAAAATTATATATGTAAATTTTAATAAGTTTTACATCTCCAGTTACTGGTGAAAATGTCAAGCCCTCCTTTCTGCATTTTGTTACTCATCTGTTATTCAGCTTATTTATTTGTTTTTTAAACCAAATTATGTGCATATCCTTGTATTTTATCAGCAGGTTGTTTTATTCCCTAATATTTGGGGTCTTGATCATGAGCCTAAAACACGTAAACATCCAGAAAGAATTACATTCAAGTTAAAGGAACAAAACATTCATTTAGAAGTTCTCAACCATGTAAATCAGAGGCTGGCAAACATTTTCTGTAAAGGGCCAGACAGTAAATGTTTTAGGCTTTGAGGACCACAAGTGGTATCTGTTCCATATTTTTTTCATAATTATAACCCTTTAAAATGCAAAAATCATTGTTAGCTTGTTCATAGTATGGCTCATGCATGTAATCCCAGCTGGGAGGCCGACGTGGGCGGATCACCTGTGGTCAGGCGTTTGAGACCAGTCTGGCCTACGTGGTGAAGCCCATCTTTGCTAAAAATAGAAAAATTAGCTGGGCATAGTGGCCGGCACCTGTATTCCCAGCCACTCAGGAGGCTGAGGCAGGAGAATCACTTGAACTGGAGAGGCAAGAGGCTGCAGTGAGCCAAGATCACGCCACTGCACTCCTGTTTGACAGAGTGAGACTATCTCCCAAAAAAAAAAAAAAAAAAAAAAAAAAGTCTGTGGCTGGATTTGGCCTAGGGGCTATGGTATGCTGATTCCTAATTCTCTGGGTAACTTTAGTGTTTGATTAGATACTAGAAGTTAGATCAAATTTTTATCCCGAATTTTACAGGCTAACCTTAACCTTAAAGTGAAACTTACGTATTTCATGAAAAGGAAATAGAAATTTTACCCTAGTCCTTTTTTTTTTTTTTTTTTTTTTTTTTTTTTTTTTTGAGGCAGAATCTCCCTCTGTTATCCAGGCTGGAATGCAGTGTCGGGATCTTGGCTCACTGCAACCTCCTCCTCCTGGGTTCAAGCGATTCTTGTGCCTAAGCTTCCTGTACAGCTGAGGTTACAGGCATGCACTACCATGCCCAGCTAATTTTTGTATTTTTAGTAGAGACAGCATTTTGCCATGTTGATCAAGCTAGTCTTGAACTCCTGGCCTCAAGTGATCCTCCCACCTGAGCCTCCCAATGTGATGAATTACAGGCATGAGCCATTGTGCCTGGCCCCTAGTACTTTCATATCTTTTTTTTTTTTTTTTTTTGAGACAGAGTGTTGCTCTGTCGCCGGGCTATAGTGCAGTGGCGTGTGATCTCAGCTTACTGCAACCACCGCTTCCCGGGTTTAAGCCATTCTCCTGCCTTAGCCTCCCGAGTAGCTGGGACTACAGGCACCTGCTACCATGCCCAGCTAATTTTTATATTTTTAGTAGAGATGAGGTTTCACTATGTTGGCCAGGATGGTCTTAATCTCTTGACCTCACGATCCGCCACCCCCAGCCTCCCAGAGTGCTGGGATTACAGGTGTGAGCCACCACTCCCGGCCATTTTTTAAGGTAAGAATTCAGAATATTCATGTTTTTACCAACTTAATAAATTATAATTTTAAAAAGCTAATTACCTAGCTAGAATATAATGCATTACGTATTCTTTACACTCAGTTCAGTCCACATCTGAAAGGCTGAAAGAGTTATTTTTTGCTAGTAAATTGTGTGGTCTCTATGTTCCTAGTGTATAAAAACTGTTATCTAGTTCACATTTATCTGGGTTGATGACAGATTTTTCTGTTCCCTTTGGACAGTGCATGGCCATGTTGGCAAAAGCTGTCAAAACTGAAACATTGACACCATGAGAATTGTTTGTTTTCCGGTGTGCTAAAATCAAAAGTGGGGAAGGTTCAGTAAAGTAAATGACAGAAGCAGAGTTCTCAGGTTATCTGTTACTCCTCATTCAGGTGTTTCGCTTTCTGGGAGTCTCAGTTTAAATATAATGTGAAAATTAGTTTTAGGAACTTAAAAATGTTGAGTGATTAATTTCCTAGTTGTGTTGTTAATTTCTAGATATTTAAATTAATTGTTAGCGCTCCATTCCAAAGAATGCTTTGTAAAACAACCTCCTTATGTGCTATGTCTGTTTAATAGTAGTTGAGTTTGTGTACATGAGATCAATATTTTGGACTTTAGCTTTTTAGGAGTTAAAAATTGACAGAACAGTTACTGTGCACTTGCTGTGCACCATGGCAGTCTCAAAAAAACCAAGTAGTGGTTTTTCTGCATTTCAGTAGTATATGAGATAGGCTATAGGTGCCAAGGTTTCTTGAGAAAGTCAGGGATGCACAGTTGGGTATACATCTTTTTCCTCCATGCCCTTCCCTGCAAGAAAGCTGGTAGGCTTGGATCTGTATACAGTTATGGCATTTGATGCGTTATTTCCTTGACAGAGTTTTGCAAGAATTTGCAGATTCAACAGGAACAAAAACTTACTTAAAATCTCTTAGTAAAAGCATAGTCCAGCAAGAATTAGAATGATACTTTTGGTTAACAGTTTTTCTCTATGTGGAGTGCTTCGTTTCCATTGCCTCACAGGTATGTTTTCAGATAAAGTTGAGCTGAAAATGTTGTCAGTCTCTTGGTTGTAAAAAAATTTACATATTTAAACTTGCATACTTTTATTCCTACATATTTTCAGTTGTTCTCACAGTTCAATAATTGATGTTTGAAAATGAGTATATGTGTATAAAAACAAAAGTAGGCCGGGCACGATGGCTCACGCCTGTAATCCTAGCACTTTGGGAGGCCGAGGCAGGCAGATCACGAGGTCAGCAGTTCGAGACCAGCCTGGCTAACATGGTGAAACCCCATCTCTACTAAAAATACAAAAATTAGCTGGGCATGGTGGCAAGCACTTGTAATCCCAGCTACTCAGAAGGCTGAGGCAGGAGAATCGCTTGAACCTGGGAAGTGGAGGTTGCAGTGAGCCAAGATTGCACCATTGCACTCCAGCCTGGGAGACAGAGCAAAACCCCGCCTCAAAAAAAGAAAAAGTAAAGAAAGAAAATCAGTATGTGTGGCAACAGGCCATATTCTCAAAAATAAATGATTGTGTGCCAGTTAAGAGCTTAGTGAGTAGCCATAGTGGGTATTAGATATCAGTTTTGGTTATATTCATCTTTAAAAATTATCTGCAAATTTTGGAATGTGAAAAACCAGTGTTTTGTTTCGTAGGTATATACTATATGCATTTTTAAAATAAGAGCGAGTGCCACTGCTTTACAGTGTACACAAAGATAATGTTCCCATGTTCTCTTGATGTCAGTATGACTTTAAAACATATTATCAAGAAATAACTAAGTCTGGAAAACTGTGGTAAATAACGGATTCTCTAAAACCTAAGTTTCTTACCAGTAAAAATAAGAAATGGAAAAAGTCACCCTGTGCTATTATTTGAGCCACTGAGGTCCTGACACTGAATTCTTGGTGGTGGATAATAATCTCTTCTTTTTAATTATTGGCTTCCAATTCTCTCTCTGCATTGCTGGAAACAAAAATCATGTATTTCACTATTGGTGGTGGGGATGCTCACACTGAAAAAGTAGACACATTCAAACTGATTTTAGAAATGTTACAATCAAAATTTGCTTCTGCTAAATTAGTAGAGGACCAATACTGTTTTTCTCCTTCATAGCATGTTTTGGTACTTCTACATTGACCTTATAACTTTTTTTTTTTTAAAACAGGAATAGAAGTTTACATTCTTAAAAAGTTTATGAAAATATGAGCTTTTACCTGGTTTGTATGTGTGTATATGTATATGTATATATACATATATATTTAAATTTCTTGCATTGATTTTCAAATTGAAAGAGAATCATTTGTGAAAATATCTTAGAGTTCATGCTTTACATTTTGCATGCAACAAAAGTTATTTTCATGCTTTAAGTTATTTATGTTGCTTATTAATGAAAATTTTGAATACATAATTTTCTCAGGGACAAAACTAAATAAACCCTTTCCTTTGGAGGATTAATGATAAATTTAAACTTTAAAGCATTAAAAAAAACTTTTTTTTAGAGACAGAGTCTTGCTTTGTTGCCCAGACTGAAGTGTAGTGGTACAGTCATAGCTCACTGAAGCCTCAAACTCCTGGGCTCAAGCAAGCCTCCTGCCTCAGCCTTTTGAGTACCTGGGACTTTAGGCTCATGCCAACATGCCTAGTTTATTTTTAGTAGAGTTGAGGTCTCAAACATCTGGCATCTCTTGCCTTGGCCTCTCAAAAGTGCTAGTACTACAGCCATGAGTTACCACACCTGACCCTTAAAATCTTTTATGTACAGGTGTAAGTGGGTATCTTAAAGTGCCAACATATTTAATTATTTCAAAAAGTGGTTGAAAACTTCTATTTCTAGTTGGCATCGCTAACTGGTTGACTAAGTTGATTCCATTAAAAATAAGAATGTTCTTAGACTGTAATGATTTTGCTATTAGTTAAATAGAAATCTATCACTGGATAGTATATGTTAATGACTTGAGATACGCATTTGAATATATAATCACATTACTTAAATGCATGCTTTTGAGCTGAAACTTAACATTATGAATTTTAAATTAAAATTTGACCTTAGAGGTAAATTTCTGTATGTTACTAAAACAGTTCTTAAAATACTTCTGAGATTTCTAAAAATTAGTGTGCCCTAAAGAATTCAGGTCTGTTTTTCTTAACTACTGTAGGCAGTAGATGTACAGATGATTTCTGCATGCAAAAATTAAGCCCCTAGCCATTGGTTTGCTTCAGTTAATACGTAGTTGCCAATTCTCTGTGTGTGATTGAGTTTAAAATTACGAATGGGGCTGGCTGTGGTGGCTCATGCCTGTAATCCCAGCACTTTGGGAGGCCAAGGCGGGCAGATCACGAGGTCAAGAGATTGAGACCATCTGGCCAACATGGTGAAATCCCATCTCTACTAAAAACAGAAAAATTAGCCAGGCGTGGCAGTGCACACCTATAGTCCCAGCTACTCAGGTGGCTAAGGCAGGAGAATTGCTTGAATCCAGGAGGTGGAGGTTGGTGAGCCAAGATCGTGCCACAGCCAAGATCGTGCCACAGCACTCCAGCCTGGCCAACAGAGCGAGACTCTGTAAAAACAACAACAACAGCAACAAACTACAAATGGTACTTTTGATATATTATCTTTTTAGGTGCTGGGTCCATTTTGTTACATTTGGTTCAATAGAAATATTGGTGTTACCAATCTAAGAAAGTTAAAATATGCCAATCCCCAAATTAGGTAATTGATTCCCAGTTTTAAGATAAAAGAACAGAATTCCCTTAAAATTAAATGTGCAGTAAAATATACCAATTTTAAAAAGTATTTACCTTTCTTTTAGAAGAATGAACCCAGTATTACATCTTTTAATTTGCACTACATATAGATTAATATTTCTGTGCATTTCTCTGTGCCCCTACTTTGGTGGTATGCTTTTCTGAACAAACTAGCAGCACAGTTAACTAAGCACTTTGTCCCCTTTGATGACTGTTTAATTTCTAGATTGGAAAAGATTAAGAACTTTTATCTCCATATGGCCAATATATGATTGTGCCTGTTGTCATAGCTTTCTTATCATAGGCTTAAGCAAGAAGAACCCTGTTAAGAGCGTTTAAATTAGAATAGAAGGTACAAAGCCAGTATGACTGAACACTGTTCTAAAAATTATTTTTAAGACTTGTTGTAAGGCCAGGTTTGGTGGCTCATGCCTGTAATTCCAGCCCTTTGGAAGCCAAGGTAGGCGGATCACTTGAGCTCAGGAGTTTGAGACCAGTCTGAGCAACATGGTGAAACCCCATCTCTACAAAAAAATACAAAAATCAGTCGGGTGTGGTGGTGCTTGCCTGTAGTTCCAGCTAGTTGAGAGGCTGAGGCAAGAGGATCACCTAGCCTGGGAGGTCGAGGCTGCAGAGTTGTGATCTTGCCACTGTACTTCATCCTGGGCAACACAGTGAGACCCTGTCTCTAAAACAAAAGCTCAAATAAACAAAACTTGTAGTAAGGATACAAAATGCTCCTATTTCGTGTGTGTCCTTTAAATAATTCATGATGTTTTTATATTATGGCAAATAGCCTTCATTTAAGATTTTAATTTAAATAACATAGTTACACATGTATAAAAGACCCATCACTTTTTTCCTAAGTCAAAGAAATGATTTAAAGCTAATTTCAGTTTAGGCTTTAATTCCAAGGTTAGCAAACTAAAATGGTTGCATTAATTGATAAACAAGATGCTAATACATGTATTTACGCTTGTCATAATCTCTCCTAATTCCTAATTTAAAAATTTAATTCTGTTAGAAAACAAAACTGACTTTTAAGAACAAACCAGGATTCTAGCCCATATTTTAAAACCGCATCCTCAATTTTATTCAAACAGTCTGATGTCTGTTTAAAAAAAAAAAAAAAAAAAAAAAACAAATCTCAAGCTCATAATCTCAAACTTCTTGCACATGGCTGTCCCAATAAATTACTCTTACCAATGAAACAGACTTTAAAGAAGTTGTGTTTTACAATGCAGAGAGTGGAGGATGCTTTTTATACATTGGTGAGAGAGATCCGACAATACAGATTGAAAAAAATCAGCAAAGAAGAAAAGACTCCTGGCTGTGTGAAAATTAAAAAATGCATTATAATGTAATCTGGTAAGTTTAAGTTCTGCACATTAATTTTGGCAGAAAGCAGATGTCTTTTAAAGGTAACAAAATGGCAACCACTTTAGAATTACTTAGGTGTAGTATTCTAACTTGAAATATTAAAAGATAAGAAACTTGTTTCCATTATTAGTACAGTTGTTCTAATGGGAATTATGAGACAGTTTTGATGGCTGTAGTATCCTAATTATATTTGGCATAAAGTCTAATGATTTAATGAGTCTTAGGTAAACTGAATATTTGAGAGCTGATATTTACCTTTATTTTTAACGGAAATCATACTTAAGTTTTGAGATAATCAGCAGCTTTTGGGTTCTTTTTAGGTAGGGAGAAAAAAATATAAGAGATAGTGGAGAGCAGTAATATTGCATAGCCCAGAAGGTGGGAAAAGCCACTCTTAAATGTATTTTTTCTTTTGGATATTTTATAAGCAAATAACCATTTTTCTGCCTAAGTTCTCCAACTCAGTGGCATCAGCAGCACTTTTTTATCCCAGTGAGAAACCTGGGAGTTTTAGGATGACTCCTACGGCCCTCTTTCCTCCAGTTCCCCAGTTGGAAGTATCCACAAATTCGTGTGATGTTACATTCTGTGTCTTTTATGCCATCATTAGTTCAGGTCCCTGTCATTTCTTTCTGGACTGTTAGAATCTCCTATTTGATTTACTAGTTGCTGCCATGATTCATTGTGCAACCAGAGAGATTTATGTTAAAGAAATGTCATTTTTGGCTGGGTACAGTGGCTCACGCCTGTAATCCCAGCATTTTGGGGAGGCTGAAGTGGGCAGATCACCTGAGGTCAGGAGTTCAAGACTGGCCTGGCCAACACGGTGAAACCCTGCTTCTGCCAAAAATACAAAAAATTAGCCAGGCGTGGTGGTGCATGCCTGTAATCCCAGCTACTCAGGAGGCTGAGGCAGGAGAGTCACTTGAACATGGGAGGCAGAGGTTGCAGTGAGTCAAGATTGTGTCACTGCACTCCAGGTTGGGCAATAAGAGGGAAACTCCGTCTCAAAAAAAAAAAAAAAAAAGTCATTTTCTTATCTTTAAATCGAGTTACTAACTTAGCTATAGAATAAAATCTCATGTTGTACAGCATGTCATAAATAGTCCTTACTACCTTCCCACCACTCCGTCTCTTTTTTGGTCTTATATCTAAAAACTTCATCATCTTGCCTGAATGTCTTTTGTCCTTCTATAAATAAATACCATGTTATTTCCGACCTTCCCTTGAGTCTTGGCTCATTTGGGATGCCAATATTTTTATCCCTAGTCTTACTAATTAGCTAACACTCTCATGATTTCCCAGTCTCCTACGCTCTAAAAATCTTTCTTTAAGCACTTAAAACTAGGCATAGAACCCTTCCTGTATATTCCCAGCATATTATTATTATTATATAAGTTTCCTATGTTATGTTGAAATAACCTCTTCTGTTTCATTCCTGTATTATTTGACAGCAAAATCTTAGCCAGAATTACATATTTTTAATCTTTGCATGCCCATTGCCTGGTAAGGTTCCTGGCACATAGTAACTACCCAGTAAATATTTATTGTGTGGAATTCTCATTTTTGTTTCTAAACTAGCCCATGTTAAACTCTGTCTTGCTCAGAAAATAACATCACTAGGTATCATAAAATTCATGGCAAAGCTTAAGCTTTGGATGCATATTGTTTGTAATATATCATGTTCTTGAGAACAGGCAATAAATAATATTGCCATTTTCAAAAACTAGCATATCATTTTTTTTTAGGAAGGAGAGGAGGGAGGAAGGGGAGGAGGAGGAGACTACTAGCATATCATTTATTATACTTACTACAAGTTGGTGTTCTTTATTATATGAATTTTAGGTGTTTTTCAAAAGTATAAAATATATATCTGAATAGTAGACTCAATCCCAAAAGATGTTATGTGGTGTACTAATCTAAACTCAGAAACAAAGCATAACTGGCATTAATTTTTT